AGATTACTACGTAATTTTTAACAAGAAATAGTAACTATAGGTATTATTTTTTTTTAATATCATCAATACGAAATAAAGAAAAGAAAGAAACGAAAGAAAAAAAGGTGGATGTTTGTTTGTAGCCTAAACTGCTGAACGGATCTTGATATTAAATCTAACATAGATGTAGAGAATATTTTGGAGGAAAACATAGACTGCTTACTTTTTTAATACCACGCGAATAGAGTCGTGGGCAAAAGCTACTATCCTTATTATTATGAAGCCAATTTTCTTATTTTTCTTAGAAATACATTTTTAGATAAATGAAATCTTCCTAAAAAATTATATACAAAAAATTCAAGTTTACATTTTTTTACAGCAAAAACCTTTTAGTAAAAGCAGGTAGGTTTAGAAATTCTCTTTGTATCGTGTACATTCGTATGTGAAATAGCGACTTCTGTGAAGTAGAGCTTTGTTCTTAAATTAACTAACCGTAGGGATTTCTCTTTTACTTTGTAGTTGGTTGCAAACTGTTGACATCCCATTGTACGCAACGTAAACTATTTGCTATTGTGTTGTTAAATGCATCAACCAATGACAACATAAGTTATAAGTTAACTCAATTGGTTTTAATATTATTTAGCTACTATATTATAAATGCGAAAGTTTAGATATTTGGCGTAGACATCGAACATAGTCTAGAAGAACACCTAGGCATACTTAATTTAATTCTACGCGGACGGAGTTGCGGGCGAAAGTGATTATATAATAACAGGGATTTAGGCAGTACACAAAGTAGTACTTCAACTAGTTTGAACGTATAAGGCAGGCAAAACAGTTGTTATCTGTGTCAGCTACGTGCTGCTATAATTATACGGTAATGTGTATTGCAGAATTTTTCTTGTAATACCCACGTGTGTAGCTAGCATTAAAATCTGTTCAGAACGTTTACATTCCTTTTCAAATTAATTGGAGTGCAGTAATGCCGACATCTTATGTCAATAGTCATTAAATTTAAATGAAAAATGTTTTAAAATTCATTCAATGAAATTTTTATTTAAATTTTCCTTGCAATTTACTTAACCATGAACCAAACTAGCTTTATTTACGTATTGAAGTAATTGGTCATACCGTTTACAAAAACTCGATAGACTGTATTACTTTAATTGGAAGAATTATTTTGCTCACTGTTTTCTGATTGTCGATTGTTTTCCAGCCAATTCAACAGTTTCGTCGCACAACTAAAAATCGAGTAGTGCGCATCTCCAGACAAACTCATAAGAATCAAAGTGCGACTAAAAAGTTGTGCCATAGTTTAGTAAACGGTGTGCCGCGCGCTCTAAATGTCACGGGCCCACTGTGTTAAGCGCTTAACCCTTGAGCCACCTTCGCTATTTGAAATCAAATCGAAAAATACTTCAACTTTCAAAAGCCATCCAATCGTTTAAGTTATATGAGGTCTGAATGGAACAAACACACATTGAAACTCGTTAAAACATAGCCATCTTTTCGCTCGCAAAAAGGCGACAAACGCCATCACCTTTTTTAATATCACAGGTATGATGTACATAAAGAAAGAGCAATAAAAACGGAGTGAACGAACGCGATGTCGTGATACATTATTAAGCAAAAAACGTGTCACACAACACGTGTGCGTAAGTAACTTAACGAGTGAACTTAGCACAGGTAATCTGAAGTTACTTCTGTACTTTCGTAACGCACGGATGTGCTTCAAATGTGAAATTAAATTATTATTCAGATAGCGTAAACATCCAAATATGTTTTATTTTATGTTTCTGACGTTTTAGAGCGCGCGTACACTTTAGATCAATCTATCGCACAACTGTTTAGTCACGCTTTGATTCCTATAAGCTTATTGCAGGTGCTCATACTCGATTTTTAGTTGTGCAACTAAACAGTTGAATAATCGACAATCGTATAACAGTTGTGCGTTAGTTTAGTCAAAGGTGTACGCCCGCTCTTAATCTTAATAGTTTTACTTACGTAAATGCAAATATTCGGATGAATAGCTATTTGCTAGAGTTTGTATCTTTGACTGCTGGACGGATACCGATGAAATTTGGACAAAGAGAGTCTGAAAGAACACATAGGGTACTTGCATGCGAACGGAGTCGCCGGCGAAAGCTAGTGCTTTAAAATGAGAAATTAGGGAATGCTGCCTGCACGAACTAAGAAGCACAACTTATTGTCACGTTTCAACTGAGCTGTGCATGCAAGCGAGCAGAACTAGAAGTAGAGAGGCATGTTTGAATGAGCCTTCGACTACGTTATTATGTAAAATTATGGCCCATAAACACTTTATTTTGTAAGTCAATGCTTCCAAAAATACTAAATAGAATAGATATTTTAACCGATTTGTTTTGATATTTTTCAGTTGCAATTGTTTTGCTTACATAATGGGGCAATGGAGGCTAAAGGCGTAATGTGACAGTTATTAGCTACCTCGGATGCTAAACACGATCTCGCTTGACTATTCTACAATCAATGAAAACACAAATTGTTAATAAATTTGTCCATCCTGACATTTACAGTATTTTAGTGACAAGAAGTTTATTAACGATAAGACAAATTTTGTCATCAAATCAGCTATTTGTATTTGAGATGTGTCTCATACAAATTAAGACTCCAGTATATCTTCAAGGAAATATGTCTGCTAATAGTCTGATAATTTCGTAATTTAGTTTATACCCTCTGCATACGATCAGGAATAGTAAACAGTTTTAACTGAGCATTTTACTATTCTAATCGTTTGTAGCGTGCTTTATATTTTTACTAGCTGTCCCCATGACACTTCATCCGCATGAAATTATAAAAAAAATATTCTATTGGTCACATTTGTCAAATTATCAATTGCAAATGTCAAAATGGCATGACATGATGTCAAAGCTTCCTTGATGTTGGCAACAACTTATGATCTCTTTCCTACATTAGGGTTTTTAACCAAAATATTTACCACTAAGTTTAATGGAGTAAAAATATATAGCCTAAAGCGTGACGTAAGTGTAGGGCTTTTTATTAAAAAAAGAGTTATTCGAAAACATGCTGTGATTGCTGATATCTTTGGCAACAAAGAAATGTGTGTTTAGGATTTATTATATTACTATAGATTCTTAACGTAAGTAAATTTATAGTATTCAAAAAACACATTTTTCTTAATAAATATTAAATAAATGCAAAGTAAAAATTTACTTAGAGTTTATATTATTAAAACACACATGCAAAGACACATCTTTATTTAACGAGTTAATCTCTTTAACATACGTTTAGGACACAATATTCAATCGAAATTAGTACTTTACTTTTCTTATAATAAATCAACATTAAAAACTTATTTGAGCCTTTAGTCACGTTCTTATCGCGAAGGTTTAAATGTCGAAGCAAGAAAATGGCGCTAACAGTTATCACCCGTCCGAAAGAAATAAATCAAAATTTACCACTTTGTTAACACAACGAAAGAGATTCTCTTAATGCTGTACACGGACCGCTTAAACAGTCGCAAAAACAACTAGCAGTTGCCTTACCGAAGGCATTGTAGCCACTAATCTATGATTATAAAGAAACGGAATAGGGAAGCTGCTGCATTAAAAAAAGAAACTTTTTACTAATGAGAGTAAAAATAACAATTACCCATTTAATGCTTTATGGACTTAAGCCGACTCAAAAGTTTACACAAAAAGAGCATTTATTTGTTTGTATTTGGAAGGTATAATCTCACTTGACACGTCCTCAGACAAATCTAACAAATGAATGGCACCATTTGAGGCTGTACGTGTACAACGGGCTTTATAATACTGAGTCCAGTATTCGTATCACGTATCTTAAATGTGGAGAAAATAAAGTGGATGTCCACGCTAGTAAATAAAGTCTGTGTCGCTTCAGGCAAGCCCCGGGGAATGCCTAAATAGAAAAACGTTTATCTAAGAAAGACTGCGAAAGTAATATCTTTATAAATTAAATTAAATACAAAAAGTTCTTATTCCCTGGAGGTTTAAATTTTTGCTCTGAACTTGGACCCGTATATGCCTTATAAACTCTATGTTGTACTAAAATATACACAGAATGTACAAGGAAAATCACAGACTTTAAAAGTGTAATAAAAAAGTAACAGAATCAAGCGACGTTCGGTGCAAACAGGAGCGAGCAAGAGGGACGGATTAAAAAAAAATCTTCAACACCTTCAAAGCATTTTAAAATCGCTGTTAAGTTAAAAATATGCCACCATTTTTTCAACGTAAATTAGCGAATTTAAGTTTGTTACCAAATCGATCGATATACATGTTAGTTATTGACCGCGGTCTTACACGTATTTTTTTCTAGTTGTATACAAATTAAGCATGAAGAGTCAACTATAACTAAAATTCAAGCCTAACGAATTACTAATGAAGAAAGTTGTATTCATAACTATTATTATTATTTAGAGGAAAGTATTGTAATTTTTATTTAACCACTAAACTCAAAAACTACTAGCCCGATTTCAATAATATTTTCACCGTTAGAAAACTACATTACCACTAACTAACATGGGCTATCTTACATCAACGGGAAGGTTATGGATATGAGAAAAAAAGATATGAAATGTATAATATCTGCCCTCAAACGAAGCTTAGGTGGATCACTGCGAAAGTTTAGATGGATATTTGTTAAAGTTTGTAGCTTAAACGGCTAAATAGATTTTGATGAAATTTGGTACAGATGTATATCGTAGTCTGGAAAAACACATAGGCTACTCACTTTTGTTTTTTTTAATTCCACGCGAACAGTGTCGCGGGCGAAAGCTAGTACAAAATAAAGGCATTTGCTCTGAATATTCTAGTAAAATTCACAGACGCAACCTTATCTAATGGCACAAGCATTTTGCTGACACAGCGCTATGAAAGTTACAGACCCGAACATAATGCTAAATCCCAAGTTCAGTTCACAATATTCCTAAGTTTCTCTTTTTTTCGTTAAGTTTATTAAATGCTTTATTTGCTTATATTATTATTTCTAAAAATACTCACTATTTCAGTGATGTTCAGGTAATCCTCTGAAACAAAAAAATATTTATAGAAAATCAATTAATTATAGTTTTACATTTGGTATAAGAAACATTTGGTGGTAAGAAACAGTTCAAAAGTTCTATAACATGTTTTTTTTTTAATTTACGTCGTTACACATCTAAAGATTTTTTCCTATTCTGTCATATGGCTTTTTACTACTTTAATATCCAACTCGTATAAAAAAAACTTATTACAAGAGTAAGAGCCTGTCCCACCAAATTGTAATTGCCTGATAATTATCCAACATGTAAAATATGTGATGGAAATATCGGATTTTGTTATCTTATCTGACAGTAACGTCATTTTTAATATTAAGCCTCTATCAGCCAGTAATGGGATAGGTCTTAAGACTTGTAATAAATATTATTAATAATTTATAGTTTAAGTATTAGATTTTACAATTTAAACACACCTCTATTAAATACAAGCGTGTCAGTCAGGCGGAAACTCTTGACTGTCACTTGGCCACACTTCAAAACATCCCCCATTGTTAACTACTTAGTTTATTATTAATAGTTATATTTTTAAATTTCGACTAGACCTTGTTCCGGTTAGAAATAAAATAACATAATACTATTGTAATTTAAATAAAACATAAATGTGGAACGAGTTCCGCATACATTTATTACAAAAATATTTTTAAAATAGTATATTGATAGTTGGTTGTTAAACAATAACTAAGACTGAAAAGACGCTGTTTGAAATCGCAGTAAAAGTCATCAAACGATTCAGTAATATAAGTAATTCCTGTGATGATTGTGCATGAAAGCCTAATATTAGTACTCTCCCATTTCTTATTAAGAAATTGGGAAGGGAAAGATATTTGGCAAAGGAGAAGACGCACTAATGCTGTGCCTTTCTTCTCTATCGATTAAAGACAACGCATCTGCTTTTGCAGACAGTAAATGGACAACGATAGCCAGGTTACTTCTTAACGACCTATTACTAAAAAAGGTTTATAATCCAAGTAAATTAGTAAAAGTTTTTAAAGTTTTAACGCTATAACAATTTAAATATCTTTCTAAAAAAACATCTGACATAAATGCGGTCTGCATCGTTTGCGCTACGAGCCGTGAAATTGCATACCGTTTTATCTGATGCGTTTGACTGTACTACATGCATATATAATTTAAATACCTTCGTATTATGTATAGAAATATTTAAAATAAACGATATATACTTGTATATTCTAATTTCTAACGATTTCTGATTCTTAACAGACTGATCACAAGCTTTGTGGAGGTATTATTTACACACGGGCAAATTTTAGTCAAATTGTTCAGTTAATATTGACTGTATATGCACAGTTTTAACTTATAATTTCGACTGTTCAGTTAAAACAAAGAATATATAGCGGGCTTAAGAACACAGCGATACCGGGCGTAAACTACACAATCTTACTAATATTATAAATGCGAAAGATTAGATGGATGGATGGATGTTTGTTAGAGTTTGTAGCCCAAACGGCTGAACGGATTTCGATGAAACTTGGCATAGATGAAGAGGATAGTCTGGAAGAACACATAAGCTACTCACTTTTGTTTTTTGTTTAATTCCACGCAGACGAAGTCGCAGGCGAAAACTAGTCTATACTATTATAATAAAGCGTAAACACACACTTCTTTGTTACCGAAGATGTCAGCAATAATAGGATATTTTTGAATGATTCTTTTTTTAATAAAAAACCCTACACTTACGTCACGCATTTGTTTATATATTTCACGCCATTAAATTTAGGGGGTAAATATGTTTGATAAAAACTCTAATGTGGGAAAGAGACCATAAGTTGCTGCCAACATCAAGGAAGCAAGATTGCCAAGATTTGTCATGTCATGTCATTTTGACATATGCAATTGATAATTTGACAGATGTAAACAATAAAATAATTTCATGCGGATGAAGCCGCACGGGACCAGCTAGTATCATATAAATATTATAAACAATTTATCAGATGTTACGAATACTGGCAACTGTCACGTACGTTTTCACAGTAGACCCTCTGCGCTCAATTTGTCAAGTACGTTCTGAATCTTTTATGATCGTCTTGTTCAGAACTACTCAAACAAAGTGGACGAATGTAAAGTTCTCTAGAGTTTTAATTTGTTGGAATTTTCAATGCTTCTTTACTGACAACTTGTGTAACTGATTTTTTTGGAAATGACTCTTCTTTTACTTCGTTTAAAAGTCTAGAATATATCTGAATTTAGTTTAGTCAACTGGTATCGGCATGCTATCGCGAGATTTTTAAAGTCTTTTTTACCATACTTGGGGGGTTGTAATACACTTATATGTGACAGTGTGCAGATTTTGGCGCCCCTATCTATCAAGCGCCCTGGGCGGTCGACCAACTACGCCCTATCTTATTGCAGCCTCTACAAAAATTATAATACTTAGGTTATACATATATTGGTATGCTTTTGTTGAAAATATTGATGTAAAAAATAATTTTCAGACATGTTTTTAAAATTCACGAGTTTTCCCATAAAAATTGTCCATGTCGTTGACCATCTCTGTGTTCCGTTACCTTTGCCCCCTTCTCTTATAAAAAAATGCGTTTCCATTTCGAACAAGATATAACTACTATAAAGGTGGTATATTTCAAACGGTAAGAGCAACACGATGTAGTAAATATTAAACTAACGCGGCAGACGAGGGTTTTTGAGTCTGTGGTACAGTCGAGCGTGAAATGAAAATGCATTCGAGCGTTTATCACAATTGTGCTGCACAATTTTTTATTCTCCTGCAAAATTTTATAACCAAAATACTCACAAACTGTTAAATAATTAACTCGTTATAACTGACGTTTACATAGTTTATTGCCACACAAAATGGCTTGATTAATTTATTTTTTTAAAGACAAATAAGCAAACGATCAAATTTATTCGCCAAACCAACGAACTATAAGACACAGAAAGAAAATATTTCTCCTTTCAAAACGTATATTCCTCTATCAATACACTTTTACTAAAGGATTTTTTTTATTCAATCATAAGAATACTTGAAATCACGACCTTGTATAAACAAGCTACTTGGTTTCTTAGATTTTTTGATATCTCAAGATTTGCTGCAGTCAACAGAAAACAACGCCTAATAACGGCAAGTGCTCTCAGAGACGCTTATCGCCTCTCGGAGAGGCAGAAGTGTTGTTAACCTCGGCCCATTATGTCGAGGTTGAAGTTAGAAATATGATGACAATGTTAAGTTATTTCTTACACCACTGTTAGTAGGGTTATATTTGTTGGTTGTGTTTTTTAGGAAAAGAGGCAAAGGAACATCTTACATATTAATATTGTAATCATTTTTCAATGGCTCTTATGTAGATCGTCAGTCATTTTCGCGAAATAATTAATAGGAAATAATACTAAATAATATGTAAATTTAAAAGTAACGTTAAAAAACCGTAGATGTAATGTGTATGTTCTTTATTGATGCGGAGTAATTTATGTAAATGATTATTTTTTTGTTATCCAAATCTAAAAAGCACTTAAATGCGTGCTTAATGCTTATAATCTCCTGTCTCCTTATTATTAAGTTATATTTATTTTAACACTAGTTTGCGCCCGCTACTTTTTTTTTATAATATAAGGAGACAAACGAGCAAGCGGCCATCTGAATCCACCGAAATGGAAAGCGACCGCTGCCCATAAATATCCGCATTTGCAGATGCGTTGCCTACCCTTTATTGAGGAGGAGACGCACATAAAGAGGAAATTTTCCCTTCCTATGCGTCTCCTCCACCGTCAAATCCACTTTTCCTTCCCATTCTTTCCTCTAAAGAAAAGGGTAAAAAGGGAAAGGGACTAAAATTAGGCCTCTGGCACCACACTCATCAGACGAAATGCGGAATTGCTTCCACTTCACGCCTGTTTTCTGTGTGGTCGTGGTATTACACCGGGGGAGCCGGCCCATTCGTGCGAAGATGTTAAAGCGGGCTCTACCACAATTACCACAACCGCACGAAATTAAAAAAACTTAATTAGTAGCCTTTGTGTTCATCTAGACTATGTTGTTAATCTATGCCTAACATCGAGATCCGTTCAGCCGTTTAGGCTACAAACTCCCATCCATCCATACATCTAAATTTTCGCGTTTATAATATTAGTAAGATATCAACATACTATTTCCAAGTTTTCTCTGCTGTCCTCTTTTCTTTTGGATGGTATTAACTGGCTGTCAATCTTCCATTCTTTAGGTAAAGTTTTCTTTTAATTTCGAACCAATTTGTGCAGCATTGTTCCAAGTCTCAGGGGTGACTTGCCTTGACATTTTTAATTATTTCCTTATAAGAATGTTGCTCTTTTCAAGCAAACATTTAACTTAGCAATTTAAAATGTTGGTTGATAAAAATAGAGAGATTAGAAAAATGTTTTTAAAAAAATAAAGTTAACTACTAAGTTTTAAAATCCGAATTTATCCGTGGAATTAAATAAAAATTAAGTAGCCTATGTGTTCTTCCAGACCATACTCTACATCTAAGCCAAATTTCATAGAGATCCGTACAATTTTTTAGGCTACAAACTCTAACAAACATCCATCCATCTAAACTTTCGCATTTATAATATTAGTAAGATCTAACAATCGAAATAGATCCGACAATTTCCGTAATCGTCGTGAATTTTCGTTTAAAATATGCAGTAAAATGAAACATAAATCCCCTGAAGTCCGCTGCGTCATTGAGATGGAAAATTAGGTGTACGCCTGAACGAGCAACT